GAAGAGAAGAAGAAGCAGAAGGTCGGTGAGCAATGGGGGAAACCAGCTGAGTTCCCGAAATATGCCAGTTACATTCCTTTGACCTTACCTAGGTCTCAAATCCTGGCACAAATTCAGCACTGGGTTAGGAGGCCTCCACCCCCACTGCATGATTCCCTGAGGGTAGATAAGAGCAAGCACTGTGACTACCACCGTGTATATGGTCACAATACAGAGGACTGCCAACATTTGAAGGATGAGTTAGAGTTTTTGGCTCGTAACGGGAAGCTAGAAGGGTATGTTCAGAAGCCTCACACCCAGCAACCCACTCAAACCCATTTTGTGCAGGCATACGACCGACCTCAAGGACAGAGGTACCAGCATGGTGGGACACAGGATGCATATCAGGAGAACCAGTATCCTACTGAACAAAGCAGAGTGTACCGAGGACGTCCTTTCAACAGGAGAGGGCAGGGACCGAGAACTACCGCCCCGAATCAAAAAGACAGGAAAGGGGTAGGTTATGCTGGGATACCCCCACCTTCTGGTACAATAAATATGATATCGGGTGGTGTTCACTCAGGGGGCCAAAGCGCCCGAGCTCGCAAGGCATATGCTCGACGGGTGATGACCGTCAACAAAGACAGACCATTGAAACGGCCGTTTGAGGAAGCAGAATGGGAAAATACGCCAATTACATTCAGCCCGGCAGATTACAAGCGAGCAGAAGGAGAGCCCGACATTATGATGCCCCATGCAGATCCCTTTGTGGCAACAGTTCATATAGGCAATCATAATGTCAATAAGGTGTTTATTGACACGGGCAGTTCACCAGACATCCTATACTGGGGTTGCTTCCAGAAGATGCAGCTAAATCCGAGCTCGCTACAGAAGCATGAAGGGCCAATATACGGGTTTGATAACCAGCCCGTCCCAGTTGAAGGAGTTATTACCCTTCCTATATATGTGGGCTCAGAACCGCGCTTCAGGATGGCTTCGGTCACCTTCTTGGTCGTTAAGATGGAATCAGCTTTCAATGCTATACTAGGAAGAGCCACCCTGTGCGAGCTGAAGGCTATTATCTCACAGCCCCACCTCTGTATGAAGTTCCCAACTCCTCAAGGGGTCGGAGTGCTGAAGGGGAACCAGAAGATGGCCAGGGCATGTTATCATGACACGTTTAAGAAGGTTGAGCTCGCTGTAGCCCTTGGAGGATCTGGAAGTAGTAGGCCGACTCAGCTCGGCTAGCAGACAATGAGCATATCGGACATTGAGCATAGACCTGAGGGTGTCGAGCAGAAAGTAGAGCCGGTAGAGCCAGTGGAAACCGTTCCTTTAAACCCTGATGTGCTGGAAAGAACAGTAAAGGTAGGCACCAAACTCACGGAAGAAGAACAAGCAGAGCTTCTGGAGTTTTTGAGGGTCAATCAAGACGTGTTCGCGTGGACTACTGATGAAATGCCTGGCATCCCGGCAGAGTTAACAGTCCACAAACTCAGCACAGATCCTACCAGAAGGCCAGTGGTGCAGAAACGTCGCCTTTTTGGCCCAGAGAAACAAGCCGCCATAGACGAGGAGATACAAAAGCTGTTACAGGCGGGCTTCATTAGAAGAGTGGAGTACTCTGAATGGGTGTCCAACCCTGTGCTCATCAAAAATCCAAATGGCAAGTGGAGGATGTGTATTGACTTCACCAACCTCAATGATGCGTGTCCAAAAGACCCTCATCCCTTGCCAAACGTCGAGAAGTTAGTGGAGCGGGCAGCTGGGCATGCACGGATGAGTTTTCTTGATGCCAACTCGGGCTATCACCAGGTTCAGTTGCTGTTGGACGACCAGGAGAAAACAGCTTTTTACGCAGGGGACGCTATCTACTGTTATGTCATGATGCCGTTCGGCCTAAAAAATGCCGGAGCAACATACCAGAAGCTGGTCCAGATCATCTTTAAGCTCCAGATCGGTAGGAACATAGAAGTGTATGTAGATGACATGATAGTCACCAGCGTGCGAGCTGAGGATCACATTGGCGACCTGGATGAAACTTTTCAAAACCTGCGCCGAGCACAAATGAAGCTGAATCCCTTGAAATGCACATTTGCTGTAGAGTCGGGAAAATTCCTAGGATACGTAGTATCCCAGAAAGGAATTGAGGTAAATCCAGAAAAGGTTGAGGCCGTTCAGCAGATGGAGCCACCAAGAACTGTCAAGGACGTGCAGCGTTTGACGGGCCGTGTTGCTGCGTTGCACCGGTTTATAGCCAGATCGGCAGAAAGATGCCTTCCGTTTTTCAAAGCTCTGCGGGAGCCTAAGAACTTCCAGTGGACCAATGAATGTCAACAGGCCTTTGACGAACTCAAACGATATTTGGCATCCGCACCCCTGCTGTCCAAGCCTGTCAACGGAGAATGCTTATACCTTTATCTGGGGGTCACAGAAGAAGCAGTGAGTTCAGTACTACTAAGGGAGGAGGATAAACATCAGAAGCCTATCTGCTACGTGAGCAAGGTGTTACAAGGTGCCGAGCAGAACTACCCATTAGCAGAAAAGGCTGCATTTGCCCTGGTGTATACAGCTCGTAAGTTGAGGGCTTATTTCCAGTCACATCAGATTGTCGTCTATACTGATTTGCCATTAAGAAAAATATTGCAGAAACCTGAGCTCTCTGGTCGGCTTATTGGGTGGAGTGTCGAGCTGAGTGAATATGCCCTCAAATTTCAGCCGCGTACAGCCGTAAAGGGCCAGGTCGTTGCAGACTTTCTGGTGGAATGCATTTCAGCAACTAAGGAAGAAAAAGCACCTAAGCACCCAGTCTGGGTTTTGTATGTAGATGGAGCTGCTAATGCCGAAGGATCAGGTGCTGGAGCTCTGTTACTGGGCCCTGATGGCTTTAAGTCTGAGCACGCACTGAGGTTTAAGTTTCAGACAACCAATAATGCTGCAGAATATGAAGCCCTCATTTACGGACTGAAGCTAGCGGCCGAGCTGAAGGTACAAAGCATTCAGGTCTTCAGTGACTCTCAGCTTGTTGTCGGCCAGGTGAATGGCAGGTCCGACATCAGGGATCCCCAGCTCAGTCGTTATGCCTCTGTGGTCAACAGATTGAAGTCAAGGTTCGCTTCATTTCAGATCGACAAAATATCACGGGCAGATAACCACCGAGCTGACGAGCTGTCAAAGTTGGCCTCCTCGCAGGACATTAACCCTCAAAGATCAACAATCATCGAGGTGCTCGACGCACCAAGTTACACTGATTTCATAGTCGACTGTCAACTACTCAGTACAGATCCCTCTACACCGAGCTGGACTACACCGCTCATAAATTATCTGCAAAGCGGCGAGCTGCCTGAAGACCTGTCCGCTGCGAAGTTGATTAAACGCAGGGCGGCACATTTCACTTTGTTAGATAGCCAGCTCTACAAACAAGCAGCCTCAATGCCCCTATTACACTGCCTTACTCCTTACGAAGCTGAATATGCTGTCAGAGAAGTGCACGAAGGAGTATGTGGCACGCACATCGGTGGCAAAACTTTAGCTCGGAAACTCCTGAGGCATGGTTATTACTGGCCCACTATGGTCGATGACACGCAGAACTATGTCAAAAAATGTCCGACCTGCCAGTTCAATGCCGATGATATACACATGCCAAGGGAAATGCTATCATCTCTCGCGTCCCCCTGGCCCTTTGCTCAGTGGGGTGTCGACCTGCTCGGCCCTTTTATCAAAGGCAAAGGAGGCTGTACTTTCCTGGTCGTTGCAGTGGATTACTTTACTAAGTGGATAGAAGCCAAGCCACTGTCCACGACAACAGAAAGAAAAATAGAAGAATTCTTGTTCAATTCAATACTGTGCAGGTTCGGCATACCTAAGCGAATTATCGCCGACAATGGGCCACAGTTCCGAGCAGCAGCACTGAGGTTGTTTTGTGACGATTATGGCATTGAGCTCGCTCTGACGTCCGTGTATACTCCACAGTCCAACGGGCAAGCCGAGTCCGTCAATAAAATCGTCTTGCGGGGACTCAAGACGCGTGTTTTGGCTGCGCATTCTAATTGGGTTGACGAGCTCAACAAAGTGCTTTGGTCTTGTCGCACCACGCCCAGGTCGGCCACATGCGAAACCCCTTTCAGCCTAGCCTATGGAGCCGAGGCCGTCATCCCAGTAGAAGTCGGATTGCCATCTGAACGAGCAGGCCGGTATGACGACCTTAACAACGAGCAACTTTTGAGAGAGAATCTGGACTTTATAGAAGAAGTCAGGGAGATGTCTAGAATAAGAAACGTGGCACATCAAAGTCGCGTTGCAAAATTTTACAATAAAAGGGTTCGAGCTCGCCAGTTTCAAGTTGGCGACCTGGTCCTACGTAAAGCTGGGTTAACTAACATTCATTCGCACATGGGCAAGCTCGCTCCCAATTGGGAAGGCCCCTATATGGTTGTTCAAGTTAAGCGACCTGACTCTTACGTGTTAGCAGATATACACGGGCGTCAGTTACCTTACCTTTGGAATGTACAGAATCTTAGAAAGTTTTACAGTTAACGTGTGTAATGTTATTTCGCTGAAGGTGTTATTTAACAGTTGTAAATAGAGATATGTAGAAAATGCAAGGAAGATTCAAAAGAAAATTCATTTTTGTATTCCATCAACGATATTACATTAAAAGCACAGGCGATCTGAATCTGTTGATCAAATACAAAAAGGCCAAAACAAAAATACAAAAAATAAAACAAAAAAGTCCTAAGCCTAGTCATCCGTCAGATCGACGGGCATGGATGCGTCCGCCGCAGCTGTAGGAGAGCGAGCAAGAGGAGATCGGGCGGTGAGCTCGGAGGCTGGCGCGCTGACGGGTGAGCTGGCTGGCACCACAGCGGGCTGAGAGTTGGGCGGGGTGCTTGAAGGCTCCTGCTCAGCTACAGGAGCACCTTCCACCCATGCATCAAACGAGGGCAGTCCTGCCGGATCCTCACCGTCCTCCAGCACGGACGACGGCCAGACGGGCACGCCCTCCTCGTTCAAGTCCCACCTCAGCTTCACAATAGTGTCAGCAAGGGGAGCCAGGATCTTACCCTGTTCGTCCAGCTCCTCCTCGTCAAAGAACACCAACTCGCGGATCGGAAAATCTGGGCGGTGATGCAGCACCTTCCCACGGATCTCGTTGTAGATCTCCGTGGTTACATTTGCAGACGCCACCGCCACGGCGTCCTGAAACACAGCTGAACCTAGGAACCACTCTGCCCCTTGAGCTCGGGCGATGCTGATAGAGCGTGCGTGGGAGGTCTTCAGCTCGTTCAGTGCCTCCCCGGCAGCGGTGAGGTTCCTGTCAGCCTCGGCGACCTGGTGTTTAAGAGAGTCCAACTCGTGCTGAGTGCGGTCCCTGTCGGCCTCAGCCTTCCTAGCCCGCTCCTCAACCCGGGCGGCTTCTTCCTTGGCCGCCTGGATCCCGCTTTCCTTTTCTGCCCGTGCTCGATCCAGCTCCTCCCTGAGCTCGTTATTCCTTGCGGCGAGCTCGTTTGCTTGGCTCTCCGCGGCAGCAGCTCGGTTCGCCATCTCAGAGCCTTGCAGACGATTCACATCGTCCACAAGGCTAGCCTTCTCCGTGGCCAGCTGCTTGCACTTTGAACCGAGGTATTCTCTGTACGAGCTGCCTGCTCGCTCTCGTACAGTGCTACCGCGTAGCTGAACACCTGCCAAACAGTTATCACTGTTAGTCTCTAAAAAGAAAAAGCAAAATTGTCTAAGCAGATACAAGCAGATACTTACATCCATCAATTTTATCATGGCGACCTGCCCGCCATGCTGCTGCACAAAAGCCTTCGCCCGCTTATTGTCCATGGGTGGCACGAAGCTGTGCATGGCCTGCACCATGGCGGGCTGGCACTCCGCCCTTATATAGCTGAAGCCCTTAGGATAAGCAATCCTGGGGCTAGACGTTGAGGCCGGAGCAGAGGCGGGCTCCACTGCTGCCCGCACAGTCCCTGACGGTGCGTTCGGAGAACGCACAGTTACAGGACGGGCCGCCTGTGCGGGCTGAGTCCCCCCGCTCGTTCTGCGTCGTATGAGGGGGACCTCATCTTCACTCTTCGCCTCCTCGCGTGCGTGCCTGCGCTCGCTCGGAGCTGAAGCCTCAGCTCGATGCTCTGCTCGGGGCCTTGAAGCCGAGCTAGACCCCCGGTGTGACGAGCCGCGTGGTTGAGG